GAAGTTTTTAATTTTCATGTCCCTGTTTATCTGTTATCTATTTTCACTCTCTTACACTTTGGTAATTATACCTTAGAAACAATTCTATGTCATAATATCTTTGTTTGATTTACTTGAGTTTGCATCACATTTGATATGAAAGATATACCTCAGCTTTGAGTGTTGAGTTTGGTGAGAATGAAATCCACATTCTTTTGCATTTGGTCATCTACTTGGCCCAAGAATATTTAGCCTAATCTTTCCCTATCTGACTGGATTAGTATTCCTGTCAAAAATTAACCAACTAAAAGTACAAGGGTTATGTCTGGATTTTTAGTTCTATCATAATGATAGGACTGTCTTAATATCTATTGTTAACCATGTCACAGCATTTCTATGACTTTGCAGCAAGCTCTACAATCCTGAAACTGAATCTGTTCATTTTGCACTCTTATATTCAAGATTTATCTGTCACCTTGGCTTCTCTTCACCCCTCTATTAATATTAAGAGTATCTTCTTAATTTCTATAAATGAGCCTGATGGACTTATACCTATAATTTAAAAATTATTAAAGGTGTTAACCTGAAGTATAATTCCTAGGAAAGAGATATGTCTCATCTTTAAATCTCTTAAAGACTTATTCTAAGCAAGGTTTTCTGTACTGAGTTATGTAAAAAGTTGGATCTGGTGTAGATACAAACACTTGCTCAGGCAGTGCTTAAAAGATGAATCAACATTTCAGCAATTGTGCAGGAAGTGACTGAGGTAAATGCAGGAATGGAGCTCAGCATGAGCATCTGGCAAAATATCAGTATGTTCGGGAAGCTGAGTACTTGCTAGAACTGGGTGTCTTGGGGTTGATGAGGCAGAATATTTGAGAAAGATGAGCGATTAGATTACAAGGCATCAGCATGGACATGCTTTCTTGTTCAGAGTTTAAAGACTGATTTATTCTCACAACAGTTTATTGTAATTATGTGAGTTTCAAATAGTCCATAAGGGGATTATGAATCCTGACTAGAAAAGAAATAGTATAAGGTAAGGCTGAGGTGACAATCATCATCCAGAAACCAACATAAAATATCAAATATCATTAGAGAGAAAAAATAATTTTGTTAAACTTATTTGTTTCCTCCCACACATTCCTTGTGTGTGTGTGTGTGTGTGTGTGTGTGTGTGTGTGATGGTGAACATATGAAGGTCAAAGACAAGTTGGAGGAGTTGGTTCCCTTTCACCTTGTGTTGTCATAGGTCTTAAATAAAGGTATAAGTCCGAGTTGGCAGCAATCAACTGTACATACTGAACAATCTCCTGGGCCAAGAGAAAAGTAATTTTATAACTTTGTATCACAAGCAGTACACAAAAGTCTCCCTGCTGTACTTATTTTAGGAGCTTCATTGACAAAACAGTAGCCTTAACTGTGGAGAGCTGAAATGCTGCAGTATCTGTCACTTTATTTCTTTATTTCATAGCTAAAGGCCAGAGCATCTAACAGCCTCAGGGTTTCTGTGTCCAAGTCTGTGCTACACTTAACATCATTTACTCTCATGCATACTCACCTCGCCTATTTATTGGTGCAAATGTTTAACTGACTCCAAGTTTGATTTGGCACCTCATTATGCATTAGTGAAAGAATAATAATTTTATTCCTACTAAGAGTCTCATTAATGTAGGACTTGAATGAGAAAGCCAAACACGGCAATTACAACTCAGTGCAACAACATTTTTACTTGAACTATCTCTGTGAATCTGTATAAGTGGAGAGAAGGGAACCAAGTTTGAGGGACTAATAGTGTTTGATGGGACACTTGACAGGAATCTACTGAGAAGAGTATGGGTAGGAGTTGTGCTCCTAGGAGAATGCAGTACACATTAGAACACATGTGAGCCAATGCTGAGATTTTTAGAAAACCACAAATATCTGCTACAGCTGTGTCTGGCATGATAGTGTAAAATGAACAGAAAGTGGTAAACAGTTAGATTAGGAGAGATTTGGTGTACCATGTGAAGACTAAAAGGGAGTGTTGTGGAGTTCTGTTGGGGAAATTCTACCTGTCATATACTATCAGCTTTGTTGAAGGGCTATCCTCTTAGTGGTGCAGAGGATGGGTTGTAGAGGAATGATACTGAGGGCACTAGACCGAGGCAATGGAGACTGTTAGACTTGAATGGGTTGAGCCATGAGGCAGGGCCAGAGAGGAGGCAGCTACAGAAATAGCAATGTAGACACAAATGTGAGAGAGTAAAAGGCAGTTAATGAGATCTGCCAGAAGCACAGGAAGAAGGAAGATAAAACAAAGGCTTGGGCTCTCTTAGAAATAGCATGGTGCATTATTAAAAAAAAAAAAAAAAAAGGCTTCTGATGAACTTCTGAGGAAACCTTTCCAGACGGTATGATTTTCTGAGGACAAGGCTCATTATTTTGTCCTTTGCACAGTTCCAAGTTGCATACAAGGATTATTTAATGAGACAAGGAAAGTAACAATGAGATGCAGAAAGAAAAAATGTGGGTAGCAATACTGCTTCAAGTAACTAAGTATTGTCCTTTTCTCTCTCTCTCTCTCTTTCTCTCTCTCTCTCTTTTTAAATAAACATCACTACACAAAATAGGCTTTTACTCAGAGACAGAGGTCTGAGCCATGGACATGACATACCCAAAATATTTGTGGTCAATAAAGTTAACACCTCATGGACTTATGAGAAACTGCAGTCACCTACACTTTGAATATATTAGTTTCTGTTGGCTTTTGGTAAACACAGTGTTATAAATATAATTGATCATAGGCAGTTAAGCTTCACACTCACCCCTCATCCACCGGAGGTGGGAAATGGACTATATTACCCATGTGATCATTTTAAAACATAAAAGGGGTGAAATACCAAGGTAAACACATCAAATAGGCAATTCACCGCAATTCATCAAAGTTCTTGCTTTGCCAGTAAGTCTTTTAAATTGCCAGCCTATTTGTACTTTCTATGAAGCTTGGTGAAGCTATTTCTGGGCCTTTATAGGGCTGGGACAAAAGGTGAAAATATTAAATAACTGAGATAAAGAACATGTTTATTTTGTGTACTTGTTTCTTATGCAGGACAGAGGCAGGACAGAGCAGTTTGCAGTAGGAGAGCAGTCAATGGGTGCTATTTGGAGGCTCAGTCTGGAGATACTGGGTCTGGACATGTGGTATTTCCATCAAGCCTACAGCCAAGTGCTAAAGAAACCAGACCCCAAGAGATCTGTGCCTAGAAGGGAAGGACTCTACTTTGAAATAGCCTGGGTAATTCATAGACCAGTCAGTACTTACTCCAGGCAATTGTTGCCATGGGAAATGAAGACAGGAATAGAAGCTTATGAAACCTGCCGCTAGCTTCATTTCATCATATAACATATCACTAAACATTTCAGATAACACATGTAACTCTCAAGTCCTTTGCAATTTAAATAATCTGTAATTACTACTAATACTACTGAGAAAAGGAACATCATTACATTTTTGCAAAAAGGCATTAGAAAGAAGAGAAGGCAGGGCTTAGTGAAATGCTTCCTCTTTCAGGTATTCTTAAATGACAGAGAAATTTTTGTACAACAAAAATGATGGTAACATAGAACCTTGCAATTTTCTTTTCCTTAGAATCCATGAGGCTAACATGTTACCACACATGCATATAGCAACCCACGCACACACACACAGAGACAAACACTTCCACTTGTCCCCAAAATAGCCAGATTATTTTATTTCATGATTCAATACATTTTAACTCAAATAGTCACCACATAACCTAGGCACAGTATTAAGCATTTTACAAGCAATGTATTATGCTGATTTTCTTTTCAATGGCCAGAGTACAAAATAAGTGAACTCCTTAAATGATATACTTCTGTACATAAAAATATGCATGTATTTATACAAGTGTATGGGGCAGAGTTTAAAGGTACTAAAACCCTAGCATCACAATAAATAGGATGTGTCCATACAGAGCAGCACAGCACAGCACAGCACAGAACACTGTGTCTGGACGTGGTGGCTCTGTTCCAGGAAGGTGTCTCTCTGTTTCTCTGAGCTCCACTCCTGTTACCCACAGAAAATGTTAGATTAGATATGTCTCCATGTGTGTGTATACACATGTTCATTTTTATTTGTATCTCAAAGAATAGTAGTGGGAATTGATAATAATCCAGTTGTTATCAAGATGTCTCTGTGACCTATCAATTCTATTGACTTCTCCATTCCATCTTTTCAAATACAGATGACTCTAAACTCTAGCACCATACAAGAAAGAAATACATGTGTTTCTGTCAGAGAAGCAAGATTTTATATCATCTTTGTTCCTCTGGCTATATCAATTCTGCTTAGAAAAAAATTTATCAAGCTAAAAATAGTTGATCTAGGTTGTCATAAAAAAGAATATTAAATACCTTTGGTAAAAATAGAGATATTTAACAAGATTAGAAAAGCCAACAGTTATAGTCAAAAGGAGAATATAAAAATGTACACAATAAAACACATACATCACCTCAGAGGGAAGGCCACTCCTCTGTGTGAGTGTGCTTCCTCCAAACCATGACTTTACTTCTCTTCTTCAAAATGGCAGAGAAGTTACTATGTGTGGAAAATCCAGTCTTTCCTATCAGCACATTTAACTCATAGCAACATAGCTGCTATCTAAAAGTCGAGTTTGTAGAACTTACACCATTTAGTTTTGTATATGCAAACATGAGGGGGAAATGCAAGTCTTTCTGCATTGTTCACAATCAACTGCACGTTTTCACTATTTTCTTGTGTTGGTATCACTTGCCCATATTAAGACAACTAAATTACAGCATGCTTTCAGTGGAAAAGAAATGCTGTCACTCTGGAGCTTGCTAGTGATCTACAAACACTTCATTTGTTTTCATGGTTGAAGACCTCTTCCATCCTTTGACCTTCCTCTAAAAAAGCAGTGCTGGGTAATTCCTGACTCCTCTTGGTGCCTCTTGTTTTGGCACACTTTTAAATCCTGCAGGGGAAGGCTGTTGAAGCAGACAACTTAGATTTCAGATGGAAACAATGAGTAAGATCTTTACCACAGTTGATGGCAGCATCTGATGGCCCTGTGGCAGATGATGGTGGGGATGTGGGATGCTAGTGGGGGATTCAGGATGCCAGTGGGGATGTGCACTGCTGTGGAGGATACAGTTATCCTCCAGTGTTTCCTTTACACACACAGTCACATTCCTCATGGTGTTCCAGAGCCACATCAGTGAGTGACTTATGCAATCCCTTGACTCCAATTTTTGGTCTCAACTGAAGGACCTGTAAGGGAATAAATATGCCACCTTTAAAAATAAATTTTTCCATGTTTGACATCAAGGACAAGTAACACTTCAAACAAGACAAATTAACAAAACAAAACCTTGGTACCTAAGAAAGACTTACATGCTTTTGTGTCTCATAAAGAAGTGTACACACAGTCATCCACCTGAGCCCCCAAGTTATCCAATACTGCCATTTCATAAAAATAAAGGTGTATTGAAGCACGCTGCTCTCAGAATACAGAACAGCTTTGAAATTGAAAGATTTACCATGTACCTATGACTGTCAGATATAATCGTACAAGAGACAATTTCACCTCAAGCATTTTAAAACAACTAATACACAATTTGTTTCTCTGTTGTTTTAGCTTCTTAGTCTCATATATTTATTCATACACTGTGCAAATGTTTACACTTGATACAGCACACTCAACCACTAATACAGCATGGAAAGAAACTTGATCCTTCCACAGCTGAGCCTGCCCAATTATGCCACTCATTAATTTTCTTGGCTGTGCTTCAAGTCCTCTATAAACTTGATGAGATGGATTAGATGTACTTCATAGACATCATCATCAGCCACAGCTAAGTTTCTACAGCTGGATCTTACTAGACATCTCTAAGGAGTCTCAGTGGTAACAATAATGCCTCTATTAAATGAGCTTATTCACAGTTTATAGTGTTCTGGTTTCAAATAAAAATTATGGGCAATAAATTAAAAAATGTATCATTATAGTTCTGTGACAAAAGGATCTAATTGTGTATTCTATTAAAAATATCTGGAGTATTGGAAAACCAGTATTTCCTATAACATAACATATAAATTCTAGGAACTATATTACTTGGTTTATGAGCAAAGACAAGAGCACATAATAACATAAAAGTGTTCTTTTTCTCTGCTTTCCATGTATAACACTAGATGACTCCATGAAGTGACTAAGGAAATTTCCTATTTCTGCAAATTGTCATTGATCCACAGAGACAGACACAAGTCTTCTTCTGTTTGTCTGATGACTTACAAAGGAATTCTGAAGAAAACACACACAACTTTTGGAGCACATGATTCAATCAGAGTTTAATTAGCTCACATATTTTTGAATACTTACTGTGTGCCAGGCACAATAATAATGTGTTTGCATATTTTAACTCACAATAATCCTATGAGGTAATCTACAGTTACTGTTTTTCTTTACACATGACTGAAATATAGTTAGGGTGACAGAGGGTAACAGTTATTATTTACACCTAGGCCAGAAGATGAGTTGTTAGAAGTAAAAAAGTAAACAACAATTGAACGAAGTCTTAACACCAATTGGTCATCAGCTTTTTTAGCAGCTTACTTTCTTCAAAGATAGACTTCAAAATCTTACAGTAAGTGATAGAAATGCTGAGATTCAAAAGCAGTTTTCTCAGTCTATTACATTTAATAACTCTGGAGCAAAAGTTGGTCAGTTTATATTATTTTAATTGTAATAATAACTAACTAGAAAATTGGTTATTATTTTATGTTACTAATGACAGTGCTTTAATTAGCTAGGGTGCCATGAATTATAAAGTTGACAATAGTGTTATTCCTTATCCTAGTCTTGCTTCTTGTTTATTTTCTTCTTCTGGGATAAGTTTTTAAAGTAAATCATAGCATCAGTTAGCAAATATCATCAATTCCCACCTCCACATATTTGTTACTCAGCAGGAAAGAAACACAATATAAGATGTAAAGTTCCTCTACAGGCGAGATGGTTAACGCAATTTGCACGTCTACCTCCATCTTCCTGACTCTCCTAAGATGTGTCTTCTAAATGTCTGCAAAAGGAGCAGAAGGCTCTCCCTCCAGTCACTTTAAAGAATAGGACAAGAAATTCTAGTACAGGGACTGTGGATTCAGGAATCAGAGGCAGGCCCATCTCTGAGAGTTCAAGGCCAGACTGGTCTAACAGAAGGCTACACAAAGAAACCCTTCCTTGAAAAACAAAACAAAACTAAACTAAACCCAACCAATGGAACATTTGAAGGAGTGCTTGAGGAGGGCCTTCATTTTATGGCAGTGTTTACTGTGATTATGTGAGACTCTAGGTTCACTCCTGTTTGGGTTTAATATGAAATGTCACCTTCAGACTCATGTATTGGTGCTTAGCAGTTGGATGGAGCTATTTTAGGAAGTGGTTGAAACTTTAAGTGGTGAGGCCTAACCTGGGAAGACAGGTACAATGGATCACATGTGTTCATTTTCTCTCGATTTCACTCCAATTTATCCTGTCACTATGGTGTGAAATTAGTAATTAAATTTATAAATTTATGAAGGGAAATTTCTGGGTCAATGATGAAAATAGAAAAACATCAAACATTCTTGCCATCAGTGTCATATAGATTCTTTAGTTACAGACATCTGCCCTTCTTCAGTGCAATTTCACTACCTCATTGATAATTCACCACAATAAAAGAACAGACACAGAGCAAGAACCCTGAATGAGAAGATGGCTAATATACACAGATGACTTGAAGTGTGCTGCACTTCATTCTAAGTGTTTTATGTGCATTAACTCACTAAATCTCTAATATAAAGTATGTGGATATGTGTGTTGCCAACCAACCAATAAGAAAAGAGAGGCTCTGGGGATTAAACAACTTTCACAAAATCACACTGATAATAAATGTTAGAGGCTAGCTGGGCATGACTGTCACCGAAGTTTGTATTTTTAAGTACTGCACTGTAATGTGACTTTTACTTTCCATACATTTCAACTTGGTAGAAGCAAGGAAACATATGCAATGATTCCATTTCATTTTTATTGTGTCTGTGTGTATGTATGTATGTCACAGTGTCTATAGAGTTCAGAGGACAACAACCAGGATTAGTCAGTTCTCTCCTTTTGCTAGGTGAATGAAGCTTAGGCTTTTAGTCTTGTTGGAAGTAACCTTTAAATGTTAATCCATCTTGCTGGCCCATAAACAATGATTGTAGAATAGTAAGACTCTCGAACAGTCACTTTTAGACTAGTGTACACTAGGGGACACATGCTACATCAGTGGCTATGAGCATTGGTTGCTCATGCAAAGGATCTGGGTTTGGCCAGCACCCACATGGTGACTTAGAACTGTCTTTAACTACTGTTCCAGGAAACCTGATGTCCCCTCTGACCTCTGTGTCATGGAATACACATATCATACTTGCATACAAAGCAGGCACACGTTATAAAATGTACTGTGCATTTCTAAAGGATGACTTGACTGGACATAATGTGACTGATGGGGAACAAAAACATGTTTCAAGAAAGATGTAATGTGAAAGTTCATAGACTTATGAAGTTCTTGACTCTTTTTTCAGAAGTTTTATGTATGAAACACAGAAAGTTTGAAAGAATTATGTTTACGTTCTAACTCATTTTCTAAGGAAGGGATCTGATGTCTAATACAAAAACATTAAGAATCATTTTTAAAATTTAACAGATTTATTTGTGCATGTACGTGCACGTGCGTGTGTGCACATGTATGTATGTGTGCGTGCGTGCGTGCGTGCGTGTGTGTGTGTGTGTTGTGGTTAAAGGTATACTCAGGATTCAGATGTGTCTAGTCGTTATTTTATTTACAGGTGGTTGTGATCCACCTGACCTGGGAATACTAGTTGGGTCATCAGCAAGGGAAGTACACGCTCTTAACCAATGAACCATCTTTCAGTCACAAGGATCTTATAACAATATTATATTTATCTGTAACATGAAGGCAACAATTTTATTTTATAATTTATCTATTCATCATTCATTCTTTGAGAGATGCTCTCGTTCTTCCCAAGCTGGCCTTGACCTGGCTATGCTGCTGAGGCAGAAAGATTAGAAGTTCAAGTGTTATTTTTATTACTGGATTCCAAGTTAAAGGGATATTATAAAAAACTGAGCTATTGGCGTAGCCTTCCAGGAGCTCCAAGAACAATGTGCCATTGAAAATCTACTTGAACCTGGAGCAGGTATTCTGATGCTGGCAAGGTGACATCGGGAAGCAGGTGGTGTGGGTATATATATGGAACAGGTGGAATGGCTATAGTCCTACTCTAATTACTGGAGGCCAGTTTCAGACAGTGCCTTCTAAAAGGAAGATAACGACTTTCAAATATGATGCCTAAGAAAGGGCCGAGCTATAGCCAGGTTTTATAGAGATTATGTATCTTGTTGGAAGATGCAACAAGTTAATGTTGGATCTGAGTGGAAATAGGGTCACTTTTCTTTTGCAGTCTCCTGATTTCTCTTAAACCTTCTCAACCATCCACACAGTATTGTTGAAAAAACATGAAACTGTGCCAGAGAAAGTACAGATTATGATACTATGTTATAAATCATGAGTAGAGGGTATCAGCGATTTGAAAATGTACCTGAAAATTAATTCTTTGGGTCACAATTAATAATGATCAAATGAATTTAAACATAAGTCAAATCAGAGGGTCATACTTAATCAAGTGCAGTGTGAAAAAAATTTAACAATAAAACCTGAACCACTAAGAAGTATAGTTTCTGGATACATACCCTCTCCTACACACACACACACACACACACACACACACACACACACACACACACACACGCTGGTAGAGAAAGTGGGACATATTCAGGGTATTCTAGCATGAATGAGTCCAGGCCTTTCTTTGTTGCCCAGGTTAGCCTTGACTTCTGTGTTCAAGTGGTCATCCTTCACAGCCTCCACATAGCTGAAGATTTTGAATATGGTGGTTCACAAAGCTCTGCACTGCAGTGATTACTAATATTTCAGATTATGTTTACAAGAAGTAAAATTCAAAAAATTCATAAAACATGAAGCAAGTTATTTGAGGCCACAAGAGTAATAATGATCATTAGCCGAAATATGAATATGTCCACATAATATTCATATTCTGACACTGGACCACATAAAGAACAATTATCAAAGATCTCATTGCTCAAACTTACACAGCTAATTGTTTCTAAGCTTGTTTTTAAACTATTCTTCTTTAATAGTTTGAAAATAAATTATAGTTGAAAAGTATCATTTTCTTTTTCCTCAAAAAAGAAGTTGTGTGCTTGATATAAGAAATAAAAATTTGCATAATTGGTGCTTGAATTTTAATTCAGTAGTGGGACATACACAAATCTCGAGCTTAACCCAGTATCACAGAAAATAACAACAACTAAAGCAGATCAAAAACAAACAAACAAACAAGAAAACCAAAGACAAAAACTTCACTGCTCAGTTATGATCCAAGACTAGACTATACAATGTACTTTCTAAATTTCTAAATTTTCAATGTCTCTGTCTTAAAATTAAAGGCCCTGGTTTTAAAAGTGAAAATCCAAACACTTTGTAGACATGGTACTTAGTTTTCCATTGATGAGAACATGTCCTTCCCAAATAACAGTGTATTTCAGATTCAGTCTTTTGTTTTTAGAAACCAAAATATCCTATAGAAACTACAAAGAAAATGATGTACTTACCTCGTGGTACTTTTTTGTAACTTTACGTGGGACACACTGGCATTCGTTACAATTATGGAGACAACAGGCACAATTCCCTCCACAGCGCTTAACCAGGAGACAACCTGGCCAGAAAATGGTATCTGTCCTCTTTAGCTCTTCCCGAATGGACACCGAGAAGTTCCGAGGAGTGCAGCTGTAGAGTCTTACCTCCTCTTTGAGAATGTTCAGATTCATCACTACAGGACATAAAGAAAAGCAAAGGGGTAAAGGAGGCTTAAGCTTTGAGCTGGCTTCCATTCCTATACTCTCTTTTTATAAAAGAAGTCTGGTTATTCCATAAATGATAAACTTAACAATACCCCTTCTCATTTTAACTAGGTTGTACAGCGCTACAGCTCACAAATTCGACTTTCTGTCCCATAGTAAACAAAGCTTCATTATGACTTAGGAACCAATGAAGAGGTGGCATTGTGCACTATGGAGAGGCAACGACAAAGTTGAGAACTATAAATAGGAAACTTTATATAGAGAAAGGGACTACACCTTATAACCTTAGTCAAAAAGCAGACAAAGAGAGCATTTCAGGGAAGAATAGTATGTAGGAGTATGAATGCTTTGATTAAAAGGCCAATGCAATTTTAAAAAGGCATACAGGCTCTTACAATTAGTGCAGAATAGCTTATTGAAACCCTTCCACAGAAGTTACTTCTGCAATTTTGCTGGCTATCAGGAACACAAAATGTAAAGAAAATGAAGAAAATGTATTTTTGAAGACATCTGAATGGACAATAAGTAAAAGAAATGATACATGTGTCAGAGCAGTTGCTGGAAAACTGATCTTTAATATATTAGGAATTGGTGTTACTTCTGCAATTTTGCTGGCTATCAGGAACACAAAATGTAAAGAAAATGAAGAATATGTATTTTTGAAGACATCTGAATGGACAATAAGTAAATGAAATGATACATGTAAGAGCAGTTGCTGGAAAACTAATCTTTAATGTATTAGGAATTGGTGTTCTCTAAAATGTAGAACAATTGGCTTCCTTCATATTTCTATGGTTCCCTTGTTGAAAGATACAAGAATGTCTAATTTATAGCCACTGACTTCTATTCTTTCTAGGGAGTTGTTTAACTGCACTATTCTTTCATTAGATGCAAAGAAATTCTCTTCAAAGGACAACTGTTATCATCTATATGAATAATGTCCCAGGAAAGCTACATTACAACAATGCCATGCTCACTGTGAATTTATACATAAAAATAATTATCGGATACATAGTCTGATTTCATATTTGTTTCTGTCTACTGGCTTTGCCTGTGGTTTTTTTTTTTCCTTAGAAGTATTCCAAATATAATACAACTTAAATGTTTTGGACCCATCTATTTATTCAGAGTACTTTTTTGTTTGTTTGTTTGTTTGTTTGCTTAGTAACCATTTAAAATTGTATAGAAAATATAAATATTTGGGTTAAGTATCTTTAAACTAATACTGGAAAAATTATAAAGTAGAAATAAAAGTGTATATTTTTTTAAACTAAAGATGGTTTAAATCAATGTGAGACTCCAATTCTGAACAGTCACACCTGTTTTTAAACATGTGATGGCAAATGAGAATAAAGAACTGTGTTATAACTTTACACAACTAATACACTTTGTTGAGGGTGGGCTTTTAAAAATTATAAGGAATGTATTAGATTATGAATATTTAATTATAAGTTTACAAAAATGCTCAACTGTAGGGCTGACCAAAAACCTCAGTCAACTGTATGAATGCCCAAAGCAATGGTAAGGGGCATTTACTTAGCTGAAAATGTATGTTTTTTTAAATTCAATAGCAAATCATAGTTGTAAGAAGTGAAGAATTTCATCTGAAATTGAACCCAGGAAAGCAAAGTTTTTTAAAAAAACTGGAAGCAAATGAATAGGTTGCTTCAAACTCCGTGTAAAGACCGGTATGTTAATGAGGCCACAGGAGGCGCTACTGCACTCCACCATGCTGAACAATACCATTCATTTTAAGACAATGTGTAATTTAATCTGAGTCTTTTCTCTGAAACAATATGATATCTGGACTGGGAGGGAATTTTTTTTTAAAAGTGCACAATGTAAAAGCTTGCTGCTAGAATTTATTATTATTATTTATTTTACATATCAATCCCAGTTCCATCTCTGACCCATTCTCCCATGCCCCCGACTCCCCCTCCCACATAGTTTCCCACCTACTCCCCAGGGAGGGAGGGTGAGGCCTTCCAGGAGGGGTCATCAAAATCTGTCAAGTCATTTGGAGTAGGGACTAGGCCCTCCCTCCTGCCTCTATGCTGAGGGAGCAGGCCTCAATTTGTATAGTCTACCTAAATCTTCTTCAAAATGTGAATGGAGCTCCCGGCTTTTAAAGGCCCCTCACTTACACATACTTTTAAACATACTATTCCACAAAGCTGGGAAAGAGACTGCATGTGTTCTGCTTAAAATGTTTACTTAACCACAATAAAAGGCTAGGGTAGATTTCCCGAGTGTGCTCTTGTACCTGCTACAATGGGAAAGTTTAAACACACTTTCAACTCTACTTCCACTCATTTGTCATGCTTGACTCACAAGTCAAAAGGCTCTCTTTGCAAGCACTGCTAAGCATGGCTTAGAAAATAACTTCTTTAAGTTTTCTTTTCCCCCTATAGCCACACAATATGAATGAAAAATCTGAGTTAGAGGAAGGGTTATAAAGAAAATAAGTGAAAACCACTCGTTTACCTGAAAGGATAATACTGACAAAAGTATGGGCACATTTTACTTTGCTGGCTGTTCTTTCCTTTTCAGATATTCAATCCTAGGCTATCATATTACAGTACTACAATCTGAGGGTGGTCTTTCTAAAACTAATGTGCCATTGTGATATGTTTATTCTGGGGGAAAAATCTATTTCAAGGTCTAATTAGACCCTTTTAAAAGTATTTCTCTGTTCCTTTGTAGATAGGCCCCTTCAGGGAAGCTGATTTGTCTTGAGATCTTAGCCCACACTTGCACTTCAGTATACAATGTTCTAAACATATACATGACTTTGACTTTTTTCAGGCTTACTGTATGCTTAAGAAGCTAATGTTTTTAGAGAACTGAAAAGAGTTTGATAGTGAAGGTGTTAGATAAATATGTGAAGGACCCAAATCAGCACAATAGTCTTTTTAGTATAAACTAGCTTGTGGTCAAATCTATGAGCAGCAGGCATGGGATCCAGGCCTAAAGGAATGGCTCAGAGGAAAAGTGTTAGGCTGGAATCAGAATCACTTCCCCCGCCTCCAAAACCCCATGTACGTTTAAAACCAATTTTTCACTCCTGTTTCTTATGGATGCACCTCATAATGTAATTTTTATTGCTAAGAAAAGTATAGTTCAAGGGATGTTCAACTACGCTTGCAGATCTTTAGCTTCCCATTGCAAAGTGTAGAAAAAGGAAATGCCTTTGTAATTTATTCATCAAGATCAGATCTGATAAATATGTGACAGCATTCAGCATGTGGACAGGATTCAGCTGCCCATGCCCTTGAACATAACCATGTCCAAACACCTTCCAAAGGAAACCATGCCTGTCAGCACAGTGAAATACCAGGCGGGGCAGGCCCAAACGTGACCTGCAGAGATGAAAGCTCATGACCAGGAAGGCTGCAAGGGCGTGAAGGAAAGACAGGAATCAAGTTTCTCCTTACAGACTTCAGGAAAAGACTGATGCAATCTGCCACGGTGAACAGCTCAAATGAACCGAATACTGCTCCTTCCACATAAATTTTTCCTGTCACCTCAGGCTCTGAAGGGATCCTGAATGGATGCTTCTGACAGACTGCAGCAGTTCTCTGGGTGCAGTCTCGTTTTCCTGTTACCTTTCTCCATTGTGGTTTGTGTCTGATCCAGCTCTTTCATAATTCCAGTGTTCCCATGAGAACGAGCTAACTTCATTGGAAACGTGGTTAATGTCACTACCTCCTCCCTTGTTTTGTTTTGTTTTTGTTTTTGAAGCATGGAGATTGGGTTTAATTATCAAAACTTTTTCTCTTAAAAGAACGTAAACCAATTTTGTCCCAAGAGGATGTTTCAGAGGAAAATTTACAAAGAGAAAACTTCCCATTGTTATTGTTATGTTCCTCTGCAGACTGTTTTTTTTTTTTTTTTTTTTTTTTTTTCTGTGAATCCTACTTTGGTAGCAGCATCTATCTTATCAAGTTGAACAATGACAATTTCCCCTATGCCCTAGTACTTTCTAAGTTTATAAAATGTATGCATCCCTGACCCAGGGAAAACATAGTAAAAATGATATCTATAAAACACCATTATTATTATTATTATTTTGTTTTTTTTTTTTTACTCTAAACCTGATTTTTTTATATCTAATCTTTCTATTGAATCTCAAAATGTAGATTGGCTTGTTAGCAATGATTCTCATAAAACCAAATGGGTGCTCCATGAAAAAGATGTTTGGTGAGATAGGAAGAGACTAGGATTTTGAGCAGAGTATCTCTTGACTTTCCTCTTGTTTATATTCTTGTTTAACACATTCATGTGCTTAGATGAGAACACGATGGGGTGTTTAATCATATCACCCAAGGCATTTAAACTCTCCCTTTTAGAAACTGTAGCAAATGACTGAAAACATGAGCCTCTAAGAGAAATGAATGAGGTTCTAATCTGACGGGAAAGCTTACCTTTGTTTTTTTTCCCATAAAGAAACGCTTTGCCCACAACCTGCCATGGCGGTTTGTACAGGCTGTCCAAGTCCATCTGCCATCGATCAGGCTCTAGATACCGAATGAGCTCTTCCAAGGTACTGAAGGCGGTCACGGCATTATTGAGCAGATCTAGCGACAAAGCTGCAGGGGGCAACACTGAAGGACTTGTGGTTTCAGTGACTTGCTGAAAGTAAAACAAATCCCTCATTAACTGTTTTAAAAAGCAACAATATATTTCTTTTCCATGTGTACATTAAGATACTCAGACTACCTCTGGAAGGACATGAAAAGCAAAACTACTTTCAACTCAAGTCAGGAGTAATAACTTTGAAGCAGGACCTAATGGTATATAACTGAAAACAGCATAATGCCGAAGAGGGTTGAGACCGAGGACTGCAAGTTTGAGGCCAATCTAGGATTGATTTATGGTATTTTATCTATTAAGAAAAGAAAAGCAAAAAGGTATTGCTTTACAAAACTCTATGAAAATGAACTTTGAGCATTGGTCTGTAAGGAGTGGGACATTATTTCCATCCCTCCAAACTAAGGTTGATGTGAGTATTAGTTATTCATACTAGACAATTAGAAACACATGCACTATGTGCTAATAATCCCTTGGAGCCCAGTGCCAGGTTTGGGTCTAAAAACATATAAGAGTTAAAAGATGAAAGAATTGAGTATCTAAACATAGGTCTAATACATATCGAGTCTTTGGAAGAATAGAGCAGCTTTGCTCATTTCCATGAAAAGTCACCAGCTCTCTGATTCAGAAAGCATAATGATTCCCAATGTGTTAACAAACAAAGCTCCACCTGCTCACCTGAAAATATAAAAGTAAAAAGCATCTAAACCATTAACAATCAGGCTGAAAAGTTTCCATTATGATTTCTTTAAAAATAATCAACTGTATGGATAAGGTAAGAGAGAAATACCAGGAAAATACCTTGTCAATCTATAAAACTATTAGAAAGCTTACCTGCATAGAGGAGAATGCATTAGCGCATCATAAAAGAAAAATAGAAAGCAAAGTACATTGATAATTTTATGAAAGTAGGGGAAGTTTGAATATTTTTATTGGAAGCAGCAAGGTTAACCTTTTTGTTCAATTTTTAATGCTAACTCAAAGAAAGATATGCTATATCACAGTTAAAGTGAAAATTATGCCAAAATCAGTGTGTGCGAACAAATGTAGGGTTTTATACAATAGAAATAATGTCACTTATCCAACTAAATGTGGGGTGATAGTATCTAATAAGACATTTGTGTTATTTGATGTTGAGTTATAATGATATTTAAATGAAAATGTGAAAAATAGAAGCTTATAATATTGGAAAAATCTGTTTTTATTCATACTATAGAATGACAGAAAGCTAATGAAACTGAGATCCTTCAAGATTTTGTATTAACAAAAACAAACAATAAAAATTATCCTTAAACTATACTCCACAAATGGAAATTTCAACATTCATGAACAAAGACTAACTAAAATTTAATAATGATGCTAAGGAATGAGAATGGGTAGCTTTCATTTTTTTTTTTCTCATGTTTTCCTTATTTTTTTTTTTTTTTTTTTTTTTTTTTTTTTTGTTACAACCATGGATTTCTTTGAGAAAGCCAATGAAAAGAGTAACATATAACAAAGCACTATTCTATCTGACCTTGTTTCTCATTGGCAGTACTTGTGCACATCAACTCTGAGCCTGGTTTCCTGGCGTTCCTTCACACTTCTTTTGCCCTATGTTGCTGAAATATGGCATGATTTACCAAAAATAAGATGTCAATGACCATGTGATTGCTCCTCTGAAGGATAAAATCCAAATTCCTTACCCAATATATAGGCCCCAGAGTCAGCTCTTTTGTTTAATCCCTCCATCAAAGACATGCTCACTTTGTTCCCTACAATCCAGTCTGGTCCTAAAAATCACACATACTGTGCTCACCCCAGATTCTGCCCATGACAAGGGTTGCTCACATTTCCTGCACACTCATTCCCCCCATTAGTGCACATAGATGCATAACAGCTTTTTAAGGAGCCACTCCATCCATGAAAATGTCTGCATGTGCAGCATCCTGAACTTTCTTAACATTTGTATTCTCTAACAATTGTGTTCATTTGAGAGTCTTTCTATAACTACTTTATGGGCCCCTTGTTTGAAAGGCAGAGCATGTTCTAGACACTGAAAACAAGCCACAGACTTTAGTGGGCAGGAGTAGCCCTTTCAGGAACACCAGGCTTTCTGAGTTCAGATCCCTCCCACAACTACCAGGATGATGATGTCACATGGTATGACTGTCACTAATGCAGTTGCCAACATTGATTTGCCAATTATGTTGTTAATCTTTTTTTATGTGTATGCTTGAACATTGTTGTACACACACACACACACACACACACATACACACAAATGTGAGAGGTCAATGTTTGATGTTTTGCCTTGTGTGTGTTTACCATGTTTGCATGTGACAGGGTCTCTCATTGGCCTGGAGCTCACTGGTTAGAGACCTCAAGAATTAGATTGCTTCTGCTTCCCTAGGTCTGAAATTAATAGGACTTATCTAAAGATATAAAACAAAATGTATATATTTATGTGAAATGCAAATTATGAGATTCTTCAGAAATTAATGGCATACATTCCATGATTATGAAAACTCAAAATTTTATAGTCTGTGCACCAAAAAAAAAAAAACCAACATGAAAAGTCAGTCAAAATGTATATATTAAAGTGCTAGATGGAAGATGTGGTGTGAACAGTGATCTAAGCTATATACAGCTGACTGCCATCTTAGTTTCTCAACTCTCTCTGCTGCTTTCAGGTCTTTTGGAATCTGAGAAAAGAAGGTACAGTTGAAATCAATGTTACCTTATAGTCAATAATATCAATACAAAAGAAAACATAAAAAACAGGCCTGTGGTATTGGACCACCAAAATAGATGCATCTTGGGTTCAAGGAAGCCTCCATGTCAAAGCCTTTCAAAAGTGAAGAAAGTTGGAAGTAAAGCCTCTTGTCATGTAAGTTGACTGATTCATTTGCAAAATACCTCAGCTTTCAGAAGGTTAAATTCAAACAGAATAAATGAAAAGTACCTCTCCCTAGAAGATTCCCCAGCAATAATAAAGCATGGAAAAAGTAACAATGTGCTTTCTCTGAGTTCAGCTAACAGTCATTGGGAACAACAGAGGAAGGCCTGCATTTTCTTAGTTCTGCTTCTCCTGGGTTGCTTTTGGGGGTTTTCAGAATGGGTAGACAATAGAAAACAGATTTAGAGAAAATAAATCCTTCTAATTTCTTTCCTATTGCAAGAGGCTATTTTTCAGTCCAGATTTTCAGACATTTTTCTCTATATTTAGCACAAGGAAAATTTAAAAAAATGTTTAATATTTAAAAATATTAAAGGATCAACAGGAGGGCTCTGAAGCTCGTAAAGGCATCTGAAGGCCAGCCTAATGACCCGAGTTTGATAATCAGGTCTCACATACTGGAAAGAGAAAAACAACTCACCAAATTATTCCTTGACTTCTACAAATGTATATTTGCATACACAACATACCAGCAAATAAATAAACATTTTTAAATATTTTAAGAATTCATGATTGAGTTGTTAAACTTGAAAAACATAAGACACTTAAACTTGATTTCCTATCCTTTGCTTTTTATTTCCTTCATCTACATGAAGATAGGTATTCATTGTGGGCCAGTAGATGGTCATATTCTGAAATGTCAAGAAATAAATGAACCCCTCAGTGGTTCACAGCATGGCTTTCAGGACAGTGATGTCACCAAACTTTTGATAGTCTATCCATCAATTCATTTAGCAAACATTTGTTAGAAGCCTACAGGGTGAGCAGTGGGCACCAGAGGGTAGAAGGTTTAGCTCTTGTGAAGCTTATGTATCCTAAGAGGAATATTCTGCAGTCTTCTCTCAACCAAAAAGAGCCAACTGGGCAATTTGCTGCTGTGAATCATAGAAGTGACATGACAAGTAACACACAAGTCCTGGTAAGTGCAGATCACAGAAAGTGAACATGATAGAAATGAGTAGCTGTGAAACAATATATTTTCATTTTTATTATTCAATAGTATCTGGCAGCCCATGAGGTCAAACAAAGTACTGGTCAAATAGAGTGAACTAGTGTTCCTGGAGCCAGGCAGCAGGCCTGCTATGAAAGTAAATCTCCTCGCCGACTTCTCCAGTGAGACATCTAATAGCCAGTGTTTTAGTGCCCCATGTTTATTGTGGCTACATAAAGTGTTTTATGTACTTGTTATCATCTTTGGCTCTTCTTTAGTAAAAAAAGAAAAGTTGTCTCCCTGTTTGTAAAAGTACTGTCTGAACTGCTCCTAAGTTCACAATAAGTAGTTACTGCTTGCCATTTCATTAGGGTTTGAATGGTGAGTTGCTGTTTCAAAAACACAGTTTCTACAATGAGGTCTCTTTGGACAAATACACACAAATGTTTATCTTGAGTAGCATAGCAACTGCAAAATTATCGTGTCAATTACAATTTATGGTACAGTGTTCTGGTTCAACAGTGTGCAACATATTTTAGGCTGATAAGGGTTATACTTCATTCATGCCTAACACAGTAAGGAAGGTATGTTGGGCTGTATTATCATAGTTAAAAATAAAGCAACCAAAATCCAAAAAAGTCAAGTATGTGTCTCTATTTCCTGCTTCTCAGAAGGCTGAGTCCAGGAGTTCAAGGCCAGCCAGTGAAACATGGAGATGATTCGTTGCTGAAAGAAAGGAAAGGGATTTAAAGAGTCAAGTCTGTGTGGCAGCCTTCAAAGAGGTGTCTCTAGCCTCATTTATATAATGTCAAGCTGATGTATTGCACAGTGCTTTGATGTTAAGAGCTTAAGCTGCAGACAGGGCATGCAGACAAAACTGCCTGCCAGGAACAACCCGGTAAAGACACAAGAATGCCCTGGAACAATCCATTTCAACATGCTTTTACTTTCCCCTTGCTCTTATCTAAATTCATCCAAAAACTTATCTGGGTTTTGTTTTTGAATTATTTTTAAGCCAGCAAAGGAAAGCCAGTGCTTGAATTCTGACAGAGGAACAGATGTTTAAATCTGTGTGGGTGATGGATATTATATATTTACGTGAAAAATCCTAGGGAAGATAGCCAGATGTACCACATTAAGACTCTAGAGATTATGTCTTTAAAAAAAAAAAAA